CAACAGGTGACTGTAATTATGATTTGATACAAAAGCAGCTTCCAAGAAAGGTCTAGTTCTTTTGGAGCAAAGATGGGCCGAGCATCACCAGTAAATACATGAGAAAACTAAGAAAGGTAGGAAGACATTTGGATATTTCACCTTCAACAGTGCAGAACATAATTAAAAGATTCAAGAAATCGAGGATTTTCTGTACGTAAAGGACAATATACTATTATAAAACTTTATTATATATAAAAAGCATCATATAAAAGAAAGTTGTTACTCCACCACTTAGGGGAACATTATTAGGGAAGTTTTAACTAACTTCCTTCACATGGCGTATGACCAATTGAAATTGGGAAATCACTACAAGATTAAAATAAATGAAAATTCACATCTAAAAAGTTGTAAACCCATATTCACCATTGGAAAGGTTATACTTGTATTGCTGTTGAATGTCATGTATGGCCTTCAATACACTGAGTATATGTTGTACTGCCAGCTGCATATCTCAATGTACTCAGCAGTCAGACTGCTGCCCGCTGGGTCTGTGTGTATATTATGAATAAATGAAGATGAATGATGCCCATCTGATCTCTGTGCTGCTTAAATCTTGTTTAGTTAATGAAATGCGCCTCAGTCATAAAGCCAGCACTCGGCGGTAAGCAAGTCGGTGATTTGCGGCAAAGTGGACATCAGATGTCCTGAATTGTCCACAGCATATTTTAATCTGTATGCATTAGAGCCCACACATGAGGGGTTGGAATGAATAGAAAGAGATTTCTGGATGATATAAAGTTTTAAATAGTGCAAGAACATCTGTAATATGAAAATGTGTTTATTATTGGCTTATACGTTTGTGGCCAGTATAATTGACTGATTCATTTTAATTAAATGTGTTTTAAAGAAATTACATTTTATGCACCAATGAAGGGTTAAATTTACTTTAACTTTGGAAAACAGACATACAGTATATTCATAACATACCATTTTCACAGAAGTAATCAGACTGACAGTTGGGGAAATAAATAAATACAATTAAATTAGCTGAACTTGAATAGCCACAACATTGATCATAAAACAAGTTATTGTTTGCAAAACAATAACATATTATCAGGGTTTTTGGTCAACACTTTGTCACAGTGAACACATATTCACTATTAACTATGACTTTGGTCTCAAAAAAAACTAATTTGTAATTAATATGTATTATAATTAAGTATAGGAGTATAATAATTAATAGGAAGGGAGTTGTAGCTGTTATGGAGGGTATGGAATAGTATATTGAAGTATATTCAAATATATATTTTTCCACATGATCTCAAATGATTGAATAGCATAGGACAACTATGCTTCTCTTCCATAATTTCCAAATGGCAGAATGTACTTTAGGACACATTTACTACAATCAAAAATGACCTTTGCTGTTTGTTCAAAGTACTTATTTAAGATTCTTGAGTGTTTTTAGGGGAACAGCTTAATTGTTTTATGTTCAATCCAGTTCAAGACAGTTATTTTATTCCTTCATGTTTGTCCCAACATAAAAATCGATTGTATGGAACCCAGCATATTTTACAGTGTGTTTAGAGTAGTCCTCATCTCACCTGCATCATGTAGATTTAAGGTGTTTGATGGATGTTCTTAGCATCTGCTTTATATGTGTTTGCAGAATCTAGGACACGTTTATGAATGGGTCATACAGTGTGTTTACCAGCACTTCGAAATGTTATTTTTGATTATTTAATAGCTACATATGTGAGCTGATAAGGACTTGTGTAGTGAACAAACAACAGTATGTTAGGAATCATAATCTGAGTGCATTTACCCACTGATATTTCATCCTTTCTCTTTGCTCTTTTTGTTTATTGTAATTTATAGCCATCAACCTATGTGCACCAACATCTTCTGTTTTTACAGTGCACTTCAAACAAATTGTTATTTTTTTCTCACTTATGTTAATTGGCCTTTAATTGCTAACTAGTTAAGTAGTGTATGACCATTTAATATAAAGTGGGACTCCTGCGTTTTCAAGTTGTTATGTTGGTTTGCAGGATAAAACTCTTTTATTTTGTTGATGGGGCTTGCGCTTTGTCTGTGCTCTCTTCAGTTCATTTCTCTATCCACATCATGGAGACACCTTCCTTCAGCTTCAGTTGTTCTCCCCTTGTGTCACCGATTTCTTGCTCAGTTCTGTTGGACGCCGCACTGCTTATTTGATGACTCATGGCCAGCCGACAGCTACATGCTGCACTTTGCTTTTTAATCAGCCACTTTCCTTGTGCTTGTGTTGGAAATGCAGCATGAAGAAAATGGAGCAGCGTGTGATTATTAACTTTGATTAGAATGTACTCCACCCCAAAATACTCCACATATAGGCTTCCTGGAAATCTTTTCTTCTATCAACATTTATTTATTAGTTTTTACACAAAACCATGCATATACATTTGCTTCTGTTTTGAATTAAAGCACTAGATCCGATAAAACACTAACGACTTTTATTATTTCAAGATTATCAGTTAATAAAGGCTCGCCTATTATTATTATATCACATATTATAACACAAATATTTCATTACTGTTTTAAATATCACAACTAAAGGCCTTAATATAATTAGCATAATTAAAATAGCAACTCAAAAATGCTACTGTATACAGTGGTCCCACTTTATAGGTGGCCTTAACTAATATGTACTTACACTGAAGCTAAGAATTTGTTACAATGTACTTATTGAGTAAATATATGTTTTACATTGTACTCATGCTTGATTAAAGAATTGCATGTAATTAAATCTGTAATTATTTTTTTGTAATTAGATTTATGAGTACACAGTTGACCATCCTATACACCTTAACCCACCCTTAAACCTGCCCATACCAACAAATCTGTCCCTAATACTACTCTTATCCCACCTCAAGAACATAAGTGTTCGGCAACACATTACAAGTATATTGTATTTATATTTTGATATAAGTACATAGTATTTAAGGCCTCCTAATATAAAGTGGAGCCGTAGTTTTTAATAATAAAGGGTAGTTTTTAAAACCACTGAAGAACCATTAAATAATGAAATGCATTTATCAAGTCCGTTCAAGGCAAATAATTTTACTTAGTGGCCATCTTTAAAATGCCTCTCATCTCAATTGCAGCTTTTAATGAAAAGACAAATATATCATATGTTTGTTTAATACAGATTACAAAAACAGAGATCATTTGGTTTCAGGTGTAATTGGTTCAATTAAAAGTAGATATTTCAAGCATTACTTACTTACTCCCAGGGCCATTTATATCGAAGTTGGTATTTATCCGCATCATATTGGTGTTTCGTAACAGTTTTTAGTAACTAGTTTTTATGAGGTGGGTTTTTCTATAATGAATTTATTACAGTAAAAACATAAACAATTCCATTTATAACACAAGCTCAGTGCTGAGAAAACACAATGAAAAAATTGTCTACAAAACCATTGCAAATTATTTATATAAACAAACAAATTAAACTTAGTAATGTACATTTAATAACTTCATTTGTTTGTTTAAATTCAGCCCAAATAAATAGTTTACCACTGAACTTAAGAAAAAATTGTAAATCCAAGGAATCATCTTTTAATAATTTTTTCAGTACACTAGTCAAGCGAGCAAGTGACAGTATTTAAAATTGACATATTAAAAGTTCATTTACAACATTTAGATGACACATTTATATTTAGTTGGCTTTTTTGTAGCTTCTCATATTAACAAAGAAACAAATAGTTACTTTAAATTCTTAATGACTATCTCTGTCAAAGGCATTCGTCCCAACCAACTCCCCATCATCCTCCTACTCTTTTTAGAAGGGATGGTGTGCCAAAGGGTTACCATTGGCCAACTTTGGCCCACAGGCCCTACTTTGGGCACCTCTGAACTAGAGCATCCATATTGATATATTGCATTTTTCCCATTTAAAACTATAAGAGTGACATGTCTCGTGCATTCTATAATGTTTGGCTTGAATAATATGGATTTGAATGGCTATTAAAGTCTCTATTTTTCAGTGTTTTCTCTCAGTTCTTTTAGGCTGGAATACCCTACACGGCTTTTGCCCTAATCTTAATTCCTCACTGGATTAACTGCACAGCCTTTAGTATTTGTGTATTCTCTAATTCCAAACCGTTCATTTGCATTGCCGTGATCATTCCTGAAGGTCATCTTTGGTAAGACTTGAAAGACGGAGAGGGAGTAGAAGCATTATGTAAGACACTGGATAGCCTGTGTGTTTGTTTTGTGCATTTGCAAGGCCGATTTGGGAGAGTTTAGAGAGAAAATATTCATGAATGTGTCGTTTGATGTCGGCAAGTATTGTTTAGCTCTTAATACCAGGAGAGGTGCTTTACGCTGCCAGCTCTTCCTGTTTGTTATGATTAGAGTTCAGCAGCTCATGGCCTTTCGCCTCATCTCAACCAGTGTTTTTCCTCCAGAGGGAAGATGCGTATTTGATGTGGTGCGAAGATGCAGTTTTGTGCATTTTAAGCAGTGCTCTACCATTGGATTTGGGAGTTGTTTCATTGATTGCAACGGAAGGTTTTTAAAATATATATTTTTTGTCATCAAAAACGAATGCAGTTCTTGAGGACAAACTCCCTTATTCGCTCAACAGATACATAAAATATTCAAACAATCACCACTTGTCCTTAAAGAAGCAAAGCAATTCTGAAAGGACAAAATTCTTTCGATTGAATGAATTAATTGTTTCTTTTTGTTACAGATTTTTGAAGCACTTTAAATATAATTTAATTCACTTAGAACTATTCCGAGGTTTAACAGCAAAACAATTTAACATAATTTGGCAGACATTAATAGAATGATTGAATACGCTTCACTGTTATGATTCACTTCAAAGGAAATAATAGGTTAGCTAAAGAATAAACATCTCAGCACGAACCACAACAGTCTGATAAAAGCTTATCACTAAGGGTTTTTGAGTTGTTTCCCTCTTTAAATTTAAAGATCCAGCAGGTTTCAAGTTTTGTTCTTTTACATTGCAGGTCACTTTTCCCCTTGGAAGACCACTAAACAGGTAAAACGTATCGTATTCAAGCCCTCTAATTGTAATTAATAAACTAACAGCAACTGTCCTCTAACAGTTATGTCAGATTATACATTATACAGAAATAACCATTGAGCTTTATTACTAAGATAAATGCATAGTAGATGCTTTATTATATTACTATAACACATTACTACTAACACATTATTATAACTGCATTCTACTAAGCCAACAAAAAGCACTAATTTTCCTCATATATACACCAATACAACATATACCACAACTTATTTAGAATTTTGTGGGATTCAAAACATACACACATTATAAATAGAGTATAGAGAGCTTGTTTGGCATGCTTTCCCGGGAGAGAGCCACATAAGATCTTCGAGCCCGGGGCTCCCTCCCCGTTTGCAAGGCGAGAGGGGAGTTTGAGCCAAGGTAGATCTCGAACTCCCCAGCTGTAGTAACTAATGAACAGATAGGGATTGCTCTTAAGAGATAACTATTTACTAGGAGCATGTCTATGGTGCCGATTTGGATTAGTGAATTAACTTAGGTTGCATGTATTTTGTCGGTGGGAGGAAATCGAGAACCCGGGGGAAACCCAACTGAGCACAGAAACGTCGGCTGGCTTGGTAAGGACTAGAACCGGTGACGTTCTTGCTGTGTGGCAACAGTGCTATCCACTGGGCCACCGTGCCACCCATCTAGGAAAGGAGGAGGAGTTGGGGTGGAAGTGGGGGTTCTTCAAAACGAAGATGGCTGTCATGGAACATAGGGTATTTATTGTGGCTTAGGAGTCATCTGATTGGTGAATCATGAATTGAATAATGTGAGGCCAGCTGCAAGCAATCATAAGCATGTGATGCTCTCAAAATGAGTTTATAAATAAACTTCACTAAATATGAAATACAACAAAAATCTAAAATATGGTGAGGTTGGCATGAAAATGTGACATTTTTTTTTGAGTGAGTTTTAAAATGAGTGAGTTTTAAAAATCCAGTAGTTCAAGACATTGAAAAACATGGGAATTCAAGTCAAAATAAGCACATGTGATCATTTTACAGTTGAGAACAGATTCTTGAATTCACTGCACCTTCACTAATCTGTTCTCACTAACCAGTGTGCTGTGTAATGTGGCACATAAAGCCCTGACCCTGAGTCTGCCACGTCCACTGACTCTCATCCAGCTTCTCGTCTGCTTGACCACATCCTACAGAAAGTCTTTTTCAATAAACACACATCTTTATATGTAGAGTGCAATATGTGAAGAAAACCACATTCATTGAATAAACATAATACTGTTTGATTAAATGAATAATTCATTTTAAAAATTCTTTCACCATACACTTACCCTCCAAACCTGTTTGAGTTTCTTTCTACTTTTGAACACAAAGGAAGACATTTTGAAAAAAAAGGTGAAACCTGTAACCATTGACTTTCATAGTATTTGACTTCCTCCGGTGGATGTCAGGGGTTACAGGTTTTCAGCTTTCTTCAAAATATTTGTCTTTGTGTTCGGCGGAGTAAAGAAACTCATTAAGCTTTGGAACCACTTGAATAAATAGTACATTGAGTACATTTTCATGTGTTGGTGGACCATTCTTTAAAGACTTATGTTTTGTTAGAGTTAGAATCATAAAGTCTCCCACAAATGCACACTGCAAATCACTATTACAAACAAACATTAACATAACCAAATAAACATATTTGACATGGTTTTGTAAGATTTTGGTATATTACAAACATCCTGAATGTGTTGTATCTTGCATTTTCGAAAACTGAAAAGATCATTTTCCACACTGCTTTAGTGTAAGGCATTAATAATACTGTGAATTTATGCCATACAGAAACTACTGTCAAGCAAAAACACTGACTTTTGAACTATGTATGTCTCTCTGATACTCTCGTGATCTCATAGACTGAATCGTCTCTCAGGGAAGTGAAACATGTTTTCATCAATAATTAAGTGAATCATCTTCTCTTAGGATAAGTACACACATAATCTCATAAATAAAGAAAAAATGAAGCATTATCTATTACTGGTCATTATTTGTCACATCAGAAGACATAATACAGATTTAAATGTTGAAAATATGGTAACATTTGAGTTTAAATACCAATTTTCACTAATAACTAGTGATTTATTACCTGCATATTATTCAGTTATTGGCTGTTTATTGGTACTTATAAATTACACATTCTACATAATGTTATTCTACATCCTTAATCCTATTTAATACAGAAACCGACCTACCACCTTTATAACTATTAAAAACATCAAATTAAGTGCTAAAAGTTATAGTTAATGGTTTATTAATAACGAGAATTTTACCTGAAAGTACAGTGTGACCGAAAATACATAGATAACATTCTACATTGACCAGTTTTTATATTGTTTTTTATAGTGTGCAATACAACCACCACTATTAAAATCTCTGAAAATGTTGTTCAGTGTTCAATGGGCCTTTAAAAACATTTTGTAGGTATGGTTAGGTTAGCTAGAAATTGCATCTATTTTGATGCAATTTGAAGAAGAATTCCGTTAAAAATTTTGTAATCACAACTGAAAAGATTTTGGAAATTCACTATGATTCATTGAAAAGTTTTGATGCACATGTGTTTTGATTGAATACATTTTAATAATGGAACTTTTTCATATCTATCACTGATTGCCATTTATTCTTAAATTCCAAGATCAATTTTTTAGTCTCTGATGTTTCAATTGACAAAACTTCAGCATACTTAAAAAAAAATGCTGAGTTGTTTTAACCCAAGGGCGACACTGTGGCTCAGTGGTTAGTCGTCGCTGGTTTGAGTCCCGGCTGGGACACAGCATTTCTGTGTGGAGTTTGCATGTTCTCCCCGTGTTCGCATGGGTTTCCTTCAGATGATCTGGTTTCCCCCACAATCCAAATACATGCGCTATAGGTTAATTGAATAAACTAAATTGTCCATAGTATATGTGTGTGAATGAGAGTGTATGGATGTTTCCCAGTTCTGGGTTGCAGCATGCTGTGTAAAATACATGCTGGATTAGTTCATTCCGTTATGGCGAGCTCTGATAAATAAATGGAACAAGCTGAAAAGAGAATGAATGAATGAATGAATGTTTTAACCCAAAAACTTAAAGTTAAACATTTTCTTTAAAACAATTTTAACATTTAAGTTGGTTTTAACTATATTTTACCCAGCTTTGACATGAAACAACTAAGCATTTCTAAGACTGTAAACATGTAGAGTACACCTTTTATCCAGTAATAGTAAAAAAAAACTTATTTATTTTTATTTATTTATTACTTTAGATGTATTACTTTTGACATTTGACTTTTGATGTACTATATTTGGTCATATACACTCAAAAAAAAAAAAAACTAGGTTGTTTCAATCTAAATGTGGGTAAAGTATGTACCAAATGCACTGAGACTAAATATTTCTACCTTGGTTTTACATTGCCTTTATCTCTTTTGTAAAACCGTGCTTCACTAAACTTAAACCTGAGCACTCACAAATACAACACCATATATAGTAAGCCACGAGCAAACTCACCACTCCAGAAAAGTTGTCCACATGGAGATAGATAGTTGAGGTAAATGTATTAAATTACAATAAAAGACACAATTAAGTTCTGTTGTGGTATTTATTTGGTGTTAAATCCTTTACTTTTCCTAGTAAATATCAGTAATGTGAAAAGGAACAAAACGTATCATATAGTTTTACTTCAGTCAAACATGTTTAAATACATTTCTTGTGGTTTCACAAATATACAGGCTGAAGCACCTATTTCCAATGAGCCTTTGTGTCGAATCGTGACTTCAAAAACGAGATACAATACATACCTAACCATAATTTTTTATGTGCCTTAACACTCACAGCTATTTTTGTTTTAAATCCCAGCCTAGTCTCTTTGCACAGTTGATAAATTGACTGATTTTTCTCGCCACTACAGTTCTTTGAGCCGCTGGCCGCTACACTGTCATTCTTCAACACATATCTTTATATCAGTCTCTCTAGGGAACAGAACTGGGACAGAGCAAAAGCACCCGCTGCTGCAGTACAGTAGAGCTGCTCCGTCTTTATCATATCTCCTCCTCTCTAATTAATACTGCCCTTTAATTAGACTTTATTTGCTTTAAGAATATCTTCACAGCCAGAAAGAGTTTCATGACTGGAAAATCTTAAAGTGGCCTGACTTTTTCTGCAATTATCCATGCCCAAAGTATATTATCCTTGGTTGAATGTCACAGTTTATTGGTCGAAGCAATGAATCATTCTGTCGATTGAACCAGTAGGTGATACAATAGCTTCTGGTACAGACCATATAATTTGAAGTTAAAATGCCAAAAATGTAAACCCATATGAGATTAAATAAATGAATCAACATGCTTAAATAAATATGGGACTAAGATTTTTTTTTTCAAATTGACAAATATAAATATAAGTTGGGTTTTTTCTTAGGCACATTTTATCAGTTCCAAACCTCATTAGTCTTAATAACTATTATTTATTTTAATCATTAATGAAGGATATATAACTGTTACGAAAGTCTAAAGGGGTCAAATTTCCTTTATTCAGAATTATTAAAGACATAGTTCACCCAAAAAGTTCAATTCTGCCATTATCTACCCACCCTACACTTGTTCTAAACCAAAGTTGATGTTTTTTTCTGTTTAACTAAAAAGAAGAAGGAAAAAACAGACATTTACAGTACTTTCATACAATTTCTCTGTTCCTACTATGGATGTCAATGGACATTTTATCCCTGGCGTTTTTCAAAATATTGTGCTTTGTGTTTAACAGAACAAAGAAAAGTATAAAACTTTAGACCACTTGAGTGTGAGTAAATGAAGAGGACATTTACTTTATTGGGTGAACTATCCCTTTAAGCTTTTCTGTTACAATTCAATTGGCTAAAAATAAGATGCAGCACAATGCTATAGAAAAACAATCTCATGGAATAATCAATGGAGCATTAGGGTGACAAAACACAGGTGGAGAAGAACAGATTGTAGGAATTAAGGTGAAGAATT